TAACCGTAGATGAGAACAGAAATTCGTGAACCGAATAGATCGGCTTAAACACGAACATCGCAGTTTTCAGACCTCTCGCTCACTGAGTCACGACAGTTGGATAGTTCACATTAGACCTCGCTGGCCATTCCAATTCGCAGGTTCATTTTTTCCTTCCATATGGCATCGTCAGTAAGCGCCACCCCGATGGATGCGAACTCTACACCTGCCCAGCTGTGTCTCAATTTATCCGCAGAGCAAAACGTTTGAGAGACGAGGAAACAGTAAGCCTTTGTTTTAGATGCATTCTCGTGCAATTCTGCCACGTCTCCCTCGGCTACAAGCAAGTCCTTTCTGAAGGCCAAAAGGCGCCGGATATGCCTCAGAAAATAAAATAAGGGGCTATGCAACTTGCAAATTATTCTCGATTCAACATCATACACGCTGATGAACCAGTTATCCTCGCAACGACTTACCTTTACATCCGCGTATAACAATAACAAAAGACGGGAGAGACCGCAATCTTAGCGGAGTGCAGTTTCAACGATAAAAGATTATGAAGCATAGGTCATCTACTCCAACCGGCGAATGCTTGGTGAGAGAGGCACAATACGGTAGACGTCTACTACCAGAAAGCATTAAACGTGCCGAAATAAGGTTGACGTAAATATGCATTCGGAAAAAAATACTACTGCCTGGCGTAAAAAGAATTGAACGGTTAATCGCTAAAATGAATATCACAAAAGAATTACTCTGCCTCAGGCAATGATTTCGAAGAACTTAACAAAGTCCCGCTACAGGTAAAATTTTAATGGAAACAAAGGTTGAAAAAATGAAAATTGATAAGCTGAAAAGGTGCGAAGGATAAATATACATGATCACACGTCCAATATGATGCAGAATGTGCAAAACTTAAATTATAAAGAAAAAATTTATTCAACATGGAGGGAATTTGATGCACTCAGAGCAACGCTGCATGTAACGTCACTGAAGAACCTTCACGAACGCATTTCTTCTGCGCTCTGCTGAGCCGTCAGAATGAGCGAAAGCCGACAATTCTTTCAAGTTGAATTTCTAGTTTTATTTTAGTTGATCTGATGCTTGCTCAGACCTCAAACATGATAGGTTCGGTGACGAATTATCAAACTAGAAACAAAAAAAGTCCGATTGATTGAGTATAGTCAAACTTCAGTACACCAAGTGGTACTGGAAAGTATGCAAGCTTACTCTCTTACTGGGAAAACATTATCCGATGGCGCTGAAATATGTAGCCGAGCATATTTTCAAATGAAACTTATGATTGTCTCTTTGATATTGCTATAGATAAATTGAACATGTGAATCTTTTCAATGTAATCACCGTACGAAATTTTTATTCATTCGCAGTTCATTAAATCAACGACATTGATAACGTTACATTTCAAAATAATTAGCTCAACCGTTTTGTATGTAAGGCGCTATTCATCTGGCCCTTTATGCAGTCCTCTGTCTTATGCTGCAACTGTGTTAAACCTCTCGGCGCTGTGCATATTGAATGTGTAGAATGCGACGATCTTGTGCTTTGTCCGCAGTGCTTCGCGTTCGGCGCCGAACTCGGAGATCATACCAGCGCTCATTCTTACCGTGTCATGGTGAGTTCTTATGATTTGGAAACTGAAACTGTTTTAAATTCTGGTTGTCTTATGTTTTGGTTTCTAAACACTGGAGATATTTTTTGAATATAATTTACTCTTCAATTTCAGAAAGATTTTCGATACGGTCATGCTCTATGAATGGTCACATCAAATCACATTTTTCTCTCAGTTATAAAGGCTTAAATGTAAAAATTTTGATTGATCCACTCCGCAGATATTACAGATCTTTGGTACCTAAGTTTCGAAAGAATGTAGTTCTGTCGATTGCAGACATGCTACCTTTCATTTTGTAGTCTCATTGGCCTCACCAGCTGGTACCATTTGGAGGATGGGCAACGAGCATAAAATATTTTTTGCCTTTCTTTATTGACCTAGTATTGCGTTAAACTGTTTTTTCATCTTCGGCCCATATTCTCAAATATCATGAAAGCTAGAGATCACTGCAATATATTGTTTGGAATATAACAACTGTTCATCGTTCCTTAACCTATAAATTGCTTTATTTCTTATATTGTTTCATTTTTTTACTGTTTATCTATTTTGCGTTCTGTTTTGTGTCTTCTGTTTAATTCTGTCATGTACAGATTCCCTATAAATTATAACAATTGTGCTCTTGCCCTGTACCCTGTGCTCTTGCCCTGTATTCTAACTTGACTCAATTTTGCCAGTGTTTCTTGACTTTTGTACTTATTTCATTTGATCAGTTTATAGATATTTTCTTCTGTTTTAAGTCCCTGTTGAAAAATCGCTTCATTTCATGATTCCCGATAGGTAGTAAGGCTTTATACCATTTGGGAATCAACTTTGGTCTCCGTTCAGGTTTGTTGTGAGATTATTCTTTTACAGAACCGCCTTGAAGGCATATCAAGCTCCGTTAATTACGGATATGACTGCGTCGTTAGCCGAGTGACAAAGATTTTCTGTCTCCTCGATTTAAATGCCAAATCTGGATTTCGGACAGCTGCTGAAAGTGCCACATCGAATGGCTCTTGAAATCATTGGTTATTTGCAAAATGACCAAGGGAATAAGTCATTGTGGATTAATTTCTAGGCTAACAGAACAGCTAAAGAGCGTTGATTCAGAACGTGGTGAGGTTTGTGCTGGAAGTCATCATGGCAGAAAAACATGGCGAATTATAATAATTTAGTTAGCATGTTATCAAACTTGAAGTAGTCAGGACTAATCGCTAGGACACATGAGAAATATGGGCTGCCGTCAAAGTCAAGTTTAGACAGCTGTGTTGCTTTGTTTCTGTATCACGCTTTGCGCCGCAGATTTATTGTTGCTCTACTTTACGACCGTTGGTTGTGATTAAAGAAAGGCTGGCATAAACATAAGTGGTTTTAGCGTTACAAATGTAGTGACATAGCAAGATTTGATAAGTTCGTTACGAGATGACAATGCGTATGCAATTTATTACATACATATTCTCAAACGCTTGGAATCGTGCTCCATACATCTTCACAGATATAACAAGAAATGTTACGGTATAAATCTGTACAGTCAGGTACAAACTTAACAATGGAGAGTTTAACCTCTGTAGTGGAAGTTGCTGAATAATTTCGTTCCAGTGTAAACTTAGTAACGTACTGACATCTTCCATTCTTTGGTTTGATTGAATTGCCAACGCTTCGTTTATCTTCTGGCGTAAAAAATTTACTTTTCTACGCATTCCTTTCATTTGGTCCATAATATGCTATATAGTTCTTGTACTGCATGTTTCATTGTGACAGTAGCATATTGTGTCAGGTGACAGACGATCATTTAGTTGCTAGGCTAAGCAGTTTCTTGCTTGCAAAGTGCAGTATTTGCGCACTGCTCTTCCAAGACCAGATTTAATGGCATTTTGGGCCGCAGCATTGCTCCTAGTTGCCTGGGACGGGCTCTGGCATATGTCACTAGTACGTGGTCCTGGAGCACATGCACTGTCAGATGCTTCTCGCATAATTTTGTTTGCTGGAACAGTTTCTTGCTGATCAAGTTATAATATAATTATATGTAATATTTGTATGCAACCGTTTAAGCATCAGAAATATGTTAGAATGTGTTCGCAGACGAATGATTACTCTAGAAGCAAGATTTCGCGTCGTGCTGAGCTGCACCATTGCTCATAGTTGCCTGGGTTGGCACTTAAGTTGGTCGAGGTTTCATGATATCTGAATACGTCCAGCGTCAGGCGCAAAGTGCAGTATTTCCACAAAATTTGA